GAAACTTTTATAAACATCCAGCAGATTCCTGATCATACATAGCTTTTCAATTCAAATGCATTTATGTGGCCAAACTCAAATTCCCTAGCTGGTGAACTGGGGATTGAATCTTGTCTCTGAAACTTAAATTCAGGTCTTGGATTACCACAGTCTAATATGGGAACTACATGCTCCTGTACTTAATATTGTAACAACTGAAAACAGCCTTAATAATGGGCTTAATAATGAGAATAAAGGTGCCTTTTCAAATCACTGGTAGTGCTACACTTGTCACCACATAGCTCTAGGTGCCCTTAATGAATGACAACGGCTCTACAATTAGTTTTGTCAACATTGAGCAACTTATCCTTAAGTAGGCTAACCAGTGCTGGCTCAGGCCCAGGGTCTACCTTAAAGGGCAAACTATTCCCCCTCCAATTTATTCTTGTAGAAATATTACTTATAAATACTGCAAAATAGTAAAGAAACTCGATTAAAAAAAAAAGCATTGTACTAAAAAGGGATTGCAAAAACAGTAACAAAACAATCTCAAGCTTATTTCCATTATGAACTCCGTCACTCACACAGCACCACTGGCATTCACTCCAAATTTGCACTAAAGTAAAAAGGAGCAAACCACAAACTAGATACAAGAACAGTAAAACATAAAACCATCAGCAGAATTGTGGCTCAGTTAGAAATGGGAACAGGGCCATTATTCTACCGCTTTTCACTTCCAGTATTGGCACACCTAGTCTTCGCACCCAATATCATCTGTTGATGGCTTAGGATAACACAAGAACAACACAAGCATTGGTTGACAAAGGCACAGTTTGTATGTAGCATGACAGAATCAGTCAAGTACAGTTATTTCATATGGTTCTGCTATATATCAAGAATTGAATGATTGACAAAGAGGGCACAGGTCTAGCTGAGAAATCGTTTTGAGCATTCTCCCTCCTGCATTTATAAATAGCAAACAGATGGGAGTAAACCCACAGCCCATAACGTAATGCAGTTCAAACTGACCTCTGGCAGGGCTCTGATTAAGCATAGTCTGAACTCTTCTGTATTGATTGCACTCAGAGATGCCCAGATGAGGAATTCACTTGCTTGTGAATTAGCTTTTATAATTACAGCTGTAATAATTCTAATCAAAGTCGTACAGGAATCACACTATCCTGTTTAACCATCTTTCTTACTAAAATAGTGGAGTCAGGAATAATTCTGGAAATTCAGGCATAAGTTTGTTAAGTATTTCTTGGTGAGAGTTATTTTTATAACATCTCTGTCATAAATCTGCAGCTCCACTATAATGGAAAAGGAAAATGGCAGTGATAAAAACAGAAATTGTTTGAGAAACTTTGACACTCTGATGAAGAGTATTTGGATTGGAAAGATTAACTCTATTTCTGTTTGTGCAGATGCTGCTAAACCTGCCGAGTTTCACCTGCATTTTCTGTTCTTAGTTCAGATTTCCACCACCTGCAGTACTTTTTTTAATACAATGTAAAATGACAGAGTTGGAAAATGCCTAGTTAAAGATTTAAGCTACACGTAAAATCTGAAGTATTGTTTACAAATGAATAATTCCACTAAATCTTCTGGCCAGTTTTCTGAAGCTCTGACCAGCTTTGCTGAAAGACTTTCATTAAATATTAGTGGTCCTTATTTGTGTGATTAGTAGAGAACTTATTTTGTCAGTACGAATACGCACTTTACACCTTTTCCATTAAATGTTGGAAGATATTTATATCAGTTCACAGTTCTGCCAATGCCTCTCTGCTCCTGACCTCAATACAGTCTTGCTCTAAACATGGGTAAAACAGCTGAACTCCAAAGTAAGAGTGACTGCCCTTGACATCAAAGCAGTATTTGACCAAGTATGGCATTAAGACGACCTAGCAAAACTGGACTCAATGGGTATCGGGGAAAGAAACATCTGCAGGTTGAGACATACTCAGCAGAAAGAAAATTGAGGTGGTCATATGAACATACAAATAAGGAACAAGATAGGCTGCTCAGGCTTTTGAGCCTGCTCTGCCATTCAATATGATCATAGCTGATCCGATTTTAATTTAAACTCCACATCCTGCATATTCCCGATGATCTTTCATTCCCTATCTAACTCGGTCTTAAAAATATTTAAAGAACCTGCACCCACTGCCTTTTGAGGAAGAGAATTCCAAAGACTCAACTTTCTCAGAGTAAAAAAAAAGTTCCCCAATCTCTGTAGTCGCAAGTCAGTCATTGCCAGGAATCTTTGCAGGAGTTTCTCAGGGTAGTGTCCGAGGCCCAACCAACTTCACGGTTCATTCACGTATGACCTTCTCTCCATCATAAGGTCAGAAATGCAGATATTCACTGTTGATTGCACAAGATTCAGCATCATTTGCGACTCCTCAGGTACTGAAACAGTCCAGGCCCATATGCAGCAAGACCTGAACAACATCCAGGCTTGGACGATATGTGGCAAGTAACCTTTGTTACAAGTAACACACAACTGCCAGGCAATTGTTATCTTCAACAAGAGGAAATCTAACCATTGCGCCTTGATGTTCAATGGCATTACCATCTCTGAATCCCCTATTATCAACATCCTGGGGGTTACCATTGACCAAAAATTGAACTAGACAAGCCATGTAAATATTATGGCTACAAGATCAGGTCAGCAGCTAGAAATTCTGTGGTCTTCCATCTTCCAAGTGCCTGCCTGCCTGCCACACTCAAGACACCTGACATCATCTAGCACAAAGCAGCCTGTTTGTTTGGCACCACATCCACTACCTTTACCACAATGCACAGTGGCAGCAGTTTGGTACCATGTACAGGATGCTCTGCAGTAACATACCATGGCTCCTTCCAAACAATGAACATTGAACTGTACAACACATGATGTTGTGCTGAACATGATACCAAATGAAACTAATTTCTTCTGCCTGCCTTTGGTCCATATCCCTCCTTCCTTGCATATTCATATGCTTATCTAAAAGTTCCTTAAATGCCCCAACTGTATCTGCCTCCACCACCACCCTTGGCAGTGCAAACATGCATCTCCTGCTCTTGGTAGAGGCTGCATGGGAACACCACCTCAAAGTTCCCCTTCAAGCCACACTCCATCCTGACTTTGAGCTATATTGTTGTTCCCTCACTATTGCTAAATCAAAATCCTCAAAATTCCTTCCTTATAGTATTGTGGGTGTCCCTATAGGACTGCAGTGTTTCAAGAAGATAGCTTACCACCATTTTCTCCAGGGCAATTATAGATTGGCAATAAATGCTGGGCTAGCCTTTTGATTCTCACATCCTGTGATCAAATAATTTTTAAAAAATCAATACAGAAAACATCTATTTAACATATTTGGCTCCTTCTCTCCAGTTAGGTTACTAGGTGACCCATGTCCATAGCTGACCTAAACACTGATTTTGTTGGGGCAAGATATTTGTTTAATGGCAACATTTCAGCCATCAGTCAGTAGACACAGTGTTTCAATGTGCATCCCACTCATTGCAAATGCAGACCTAGCTCCACCAGCCAATGGGGAAGGTGGTCATTCATTGAGTGTATCGACTCTAAACAGGATAAAACCCTCCTGCTGTCTAGGACTATCTAGCCAGTGGTTGGATCTTGGAAGAAATCTATTTGGTGGAGCCTGACTGTTGACGAGCTCAAGAGTTGAAATATAGGAATAAAGTAGGTCATCCAACTCTCCGTCCAATGTCTATTCTGCCACCCTTCAACAAGATCATGGCTGATCTGCAACCTAGCTTCTATACCTACCTTTGTTCCATACCTTCAATAACATCTATCAATCTCAGTTTGAAAGGTGACAACTGAGCTGAAATCAGTTGCCACTAGTGGAAGAGTTTCAAACTTCTACCATGCTTTGGGAGAAGAATGGTTCCCTAATTTCACTCCACATGGGTCTGGCTCTAATTTTAGATATTGATCCTACCAATAGAAATGGTTTCTCTATATTGACTCCACTGATTCCCTTTAATGTCTTGTAAACTTCGATCATATCACTTTTAACCTGCTGATTGCTGTAACCAGACTGGACTTTCTAGAGCTGTAATACTTGTATTCTTGTAAAATATTAAACACCATCCTTTTAAATAAAATCAAAGTGAATACGTCTTGGAAACAGGTTGCAGCTTTTCGAAGTTACCCCAGCACTGATTATGTATCTGCCAGAATGAGAGGCCGGAGTAAAAAATTCCAACGACAAAGACAGCTTTCTAAAAGAGGAAGCTTTACTGTTCCTGTCTCCTACTCTTCTCCCATCGTTTAAATGCAAACTCAAATGGGCTACGGTTTCCCTCTTGCACACCATTTAACTCACTAAGTGAACGTGCCAGCCAGGGTGTTGATGTGAGACTTCAGGGTAATCGGCAGCAATAAAACCAGAACCTAATAAAGAATCGATTGCTTTGGGAGAGGAAATTGAAAAGTCCAAACATATCACACTGGAGCACCTACAAATCTGTGATTGTTTCACATACCAAGGCTTTAATATTAAAGATTTTAGATCTGGTGTTACCAAGCAGGCCTTGAAATCAGCTTTGCAAATCAAGAACAAGGCGTCAACCTACTGATTAATTTTCTTTTCAAATTATGTTAATTATACGATTGCAATGTAATAACAAACACAATAATTACTGTTTAATGTTAATTATATTTTACCCACGTGATAATAGATTGTTGCTTGTTATCATCTGAACCCATAGACTGTGCTAAACACAGTGTACAGTCAGATTCCCCCCACCCATTTCACATAGCAAGGAAGCAAAGCATTCGCCACTAGCTGGGTCCTGTTAGTGGTAATACAATATTGTTAGATAGCTGATATTCAGTAATGTGCTCGCTGGGAACGTTACCTGCGTGCTGACTCGTAAGAATCTGTTACAGTTAAAGTAGGGAGTGGCATATTGTTACGTGATGATGGTGTGAGCTGAGGGTATAACAGGAATACATGAATTGTTAAATGGAAAAAAAGTCTTCCAGAATGAAATACAAACACTTGAAGCTTTTTGCGATCTTTATTTAGATGTTTGACTCCTCTTGCAGTGCATAAAATTGAGAATTAAACAAGTCACTTCTACAGCAGCAAAAAAATATTGGAATTAAACAACAAAATGATTTCCACTTCAAATCAGTGATTCACGTGGAACAAGTGAGGCATTAAACTCAAGTACCAGTGAGACCATTAGATTCTGCAACACATTAAAAAAAAAGATATTCAAGATAATGCAGTGCCTTTACACACTTCCATAAAAGATATTCCTGCAGGAATAAATACTTATCTGCAGATGAAAAAGCTGCACCTAGATTTACTTGCTCAGCTACAGAACATCCCCAAAGATTCCTACGTCGTATGTAGGTTCTTGCCCCAAACTATGTGTGGTGACATGACAAAATCAAAGTAGATGTGCCTCCTCCTTCCTGTTACAAACAGCAAAGGTGAACAGATGATCTGGCATGCTCGGATCTCATGATAACATACATCCCAGTCACCAGAGGTTTAGTTCTGGTCCTCTCTCAGGTGACTTATTCTGCAGATTTCATACTGGGGTAGAATCCATACTGAATTTACTATAAATCAAAATTTATTCAAGGAATAGCTATTCAAAGAATCAAAAGACTTTCTAGAATATAAGTAATCAGACAGCATTAGATGAATACAAGTCTCAAAGTAAAATGATGTTGTACATTCCTAGTTGAAACAACAAGTGTGGATTACGGTTCAGAAATAAGATATTTTGATTAACAAATAAATCTACAATCTCAAGTAATTCTTTTGCAGTAAATTTGTGGAAGTTACAGTGTAATGACTAGGGTATATATTAATTTGCATATTCATAAATCACATTATCACATTGAAACATCTAAAAACACTCCACAAAATGAATTACATTTGACATGTAGCGATTATGTAGGCAATAATTAACAGTTGCTGCATCCAGTCATACCATTATGGAAAAACCTAACAAAGTGAAACCTAGTAGCTTTTACAGTTTACATTTATTGTGCCAGCTTTACAAATCAGATAGTGATGAAGTGCTGTCTAGTTTTACAGCAACAGGTTACAGAACATGCCTTGCAGCTGGTGGCTCATTTCATTTTCAGAGGAAAATAAGCCAAGAAGAATTAAACCAGAGTTGATAAATCTGAACATTACACAAAAATCTGAGTTGGTCCACGGATTAGAGAGTACTCAAAGTCCAGACTAGCTGATTGGAAGGGCAGCCGCTAGATTTGTTTACTAATGTCAGCAGGTGATGATCTGCTGACTGATGTCCCAGACATTAGAACTGTCTGATGTTAAATACAGACACACTCTACGATTTGTTTTAAAATATTGGCAGCCCATCAGCATAACAAAATAGACTTTGACTTTACTCGAGGTGATTTATTCATTGTGCCTTGGCCTTCCACTTCCCTATGTAAAGAAATGGATACTCCTGTAACTCGGAGGTCCAGTATTTTACCATGAAAAAAACTCACTAAAATTAATACTCACACATTACACTCCAAAGTATTTTGTGCTGAGGAGACATAATCACAAGTTGTAATTCTTTTCTTTTACAGAAATGCAACACAGAAACTTCCAGCACAAGTGGTACACACATCAGCATTGTCTAGTCACTCACCCTAACTAAACCAAGGAGATTCCAGTGACATGTTAGAAAGGTTTTGATTCAAATAGACAGTCACCCTCAAAACGTTTCAGCAACCAATGATCTTCAAAAAGATTCAAAAAACTTTTCCTGAAACAACAGGGGTATAACATGACTAGCCAATGGAAGCCTAGTCTGGAGAGAAAGATGGGTGATAATACCTTTTATCTACTTTCCCATCTCTTAATCAAAGGTAAAATATTTAGATACTGAAATCAATTGAAAACTGATCACAGAAACAAAATTAAGGTTCAGGTATTAGTGAGTCCATAGATCATCACAGGACTAGCAACAAAGAGCAGGAAGATTTCAAGGCCACAGCCATGCTAAACCGAGGCTAGACTAAAAGACTTAACACATCAAAGCCTTTAACTAACAGTTACAGAATCCCTCTTGCCAAATTGCTTAAGGCAAGTTACCCACAAACTTTGAAAAATGTTGAAACTCATGAACTCACCAATTTGCAGGCACCACAAACATCCTTTAATACCTAATATTTTAATTTTGCTTTTGCTTTTTTGCTTCACTGTGCCGCTTCCCAAAACTTACTTCCTCTTTCAGGTGTTCCTTTATTTAAAATTGAAGGACCCATTTTTGATGGATAAGAAGTGCATTTGATGAATTCCTGCAAAATTCATGTTTGAAGAGGGATCAACCTGCTGGCTCTCTTTTTACCAACTCTTTAAACATACAAGGCAAGAGGGCTGTTAAGGGCTGTTTTAAATGACACATGAAGGCACTCTTTTACACCAGGCTAGAAGATAAAAGCTTGTTCAATGCGAATATAACTTGCTCAAATATGATCAGTAGGTTGTCTGAATCAAATATATTCTACTTGGTCAGTTACTCACCTCCAACAGATGTACGACAGGGAGAACTCAAACTACAGATAATTTCCAAAGTAAAGGCAAAAGGTAAAGTCACCACAGTTTTACTGGACCATAGGGCTACTGTCGCATTAGAGAGAGATAACTGATGGTGGTTTATCCTACAGTCACCATGCCTCAGGGGAGGGAAGAGGTTGAGAAGGAGAATGCTTCGTGGTAACCTCAGCTGGTACAGGAATTGAATCCATGCTGTCGGTGTCATTCAGCATCATAAACCAGCTTGTACCCAGTGCTATAGTACATCACATACCAACAGACAGCAGAGAGGCAAATTGTTCATCAGACCTTGGCAAACGTTACTGTGCTCCCAGTCCTCCCAAATAAACTAACCGATCCCAGAAACCCATTACACAGTTGTGTTCAACCATTCCATGGTGCAATGACTTGGATTATTAAAGCATGGTTGTCATCCATTTTAATACAAGTTCAACATATCACATTAAAAATGATTGATTTCTGTCCAAATCACCATAAATACAGAGCTTGATTATTTTACCTACTATAGCTGCTTCTGTTAAAAGTATTTGTTCACATTCAACTAGTTGCTGGCTTGGAAGGAGTGATGATGGATTTCAAGGTAAATTCTTAACAGCAAATTAATACTTCAATTGATCAACAGTGCAGAAGTGAGGGACTGTATGGAAATAAGGAGATGATAACTTGCATCATGAGCTCACTGACATGGTAACACATTAGCATCACTGCAGGTCACAGTACAGAAAGTACAAAAACAAAGTTGCTGGAAAAGCTCAGCATGCCTGGCAGCATCTGTGAAGGAAAAAAAAACGAGTTAACGTTTCGGGTCCAGTGACCCTTCCTCAGAATGTAGTCTAACTTCAACACAAATCTGTCCAATTTTATGTCGCGTTTGAATAAAAAGAGGGACTGTGCTTTTGGGCTTTATACACATTTGTGAACTGCAAAGAGTTGCACAGCAGCAATTGCATTTAGACATGAGCAAGACAATAGAAGTGAATGTACATTGGGAAATTCCTTCCAAAGGGAGCAATCCATCACCAGACCATTAGAAATACAGATGTTAAAAACATACAGCTGTGTAAGATGGCCAGCAAACCTGTGCTTAATTGTCTTCTGGCCTGGGCTGTAGGCAAGTCGCTGGTGAAGCCTGGGCCACTGGGAGCAGAGGCTGAATGATGGACTATCCTTTACATACCACAGTATTATTCTACTCATTCAGAAAGGTAGCAGATCCTTAATCAATAAGCCAGACATCTCAAAGGGAGTTTTCATTTTTGTTCCAACAAAACTACTTAATACTAGGACACAAAAGATGTTGGCCAAGAATATTCCTTTTAAACAAACTTACAAAGTAACAAATATTTCAAAATGCTGAGAAGTAATAAATCAAGGATAGAATCCAGAGTTGAAGAGCTCTAAAGCCAAGCTCTATAGTAATAAAAATAACATTAAAGGATGACTAGGATAGGGGCAAAATACTATGGATGCTGGAAACAAGTTTGAGGAAGAGTCATTCTGGGCTTGAAACATTAACACTTTCTCTCTCTATAGATGCTGCCAGGCCTGCGGAGTTTCTCCAGCATTCTCTGTGTTTGCATCTATATGGCAGCTGACAAACCAGAAACTTCACCAAGCAACAACCAGAAAATACTTGGATGATAGCGCTCTGCGAAAGGACGAGAAGTTTGTGCCTTTTCAGCTAATCCATCACTTCCAGCAAATGCAAGCCAGGAGTCCGTTTTTTGCAGTGCTCAACCTTATTTTCATTTTATAACACAAGTGACTTTAACTTACCTCCGGTACTGCATTGCCAGTGGAAGGACTATTTGCAAACCAAAGCTACCTTGGAGTGACAATTATATTGAAAAGATAAACTGTTTACTTCACAAAATTTCACAGTTTTTTAACTGTGCAAAATATAAGAATACCTTATCTTTCTAAATGTAAGAGTCAGAGAGAGAGAGAGAGAGAGAGAGAGAGAGAGAGAGAGAGAGAGAGACACACACAGACTCACAGAGGGAGTGGCAATGAAAGCAAAAGAAAAAAATCTGAACACTTACTGCTGTCTCTCAGGCCTTCCTTCCCCATACTTGATTATTCTGAACTGCAATCTCGAGGCACCTTGGGGATATGAGCAAGCATCTCCCCTTTAGTTGTAACGTGAATGGGGCAGAAGACTATGGGCAGCACCTTAATTCACATCAGAGGAGGGGACTGCGTCAAGCACCACATCCCTTTAACAGACAAAGCAGGCAGAACTTGGACCATGTTTTGGCAATGAAGCTCTAATATATATCTTGCTGCTGAGGCTTCCTTACATGTGCAGAATTTTAATCTTTTGAACATTTAATTAGGGAGCCATACTTAAAGAGGACATTAGGAATTCACTTTACACAGACATATCCTCAAAGGGAATACCATGCAAACTGTTTAATGCTTCACATTGATGTGTGATGCACTTAACCGGACCGGTTAAAATAAAGCTGGGAGACAGCATTAAGTTTTTAGATTTAAAACCAACTTTCATGCTTCAAAGTGAAAACATGACTAGGCCTGAACCACAGAGAGTTGAAAGTAGTGACGTTTAGCTGAGCATTTTGTGCCGGTCAAAGACAGTCTTGCGCTGCTCCTGTACTTGACGCTTCCATCTTTGCTGGGCTCCCTCCACTCTCTCAAGAACAGTGTTGGCACGAGCTTGTCCATGGGATGGAGCAAATGGACGGGTATCCTGGAGTAAAGATAAGAATATAAGTAGATGATTATCTCTCATAGCATTACGAATAATCTTCTGTTTCCAAGTCTGATTTGGTCATATTACCATGGTCAATACTTATCTAGATCTCCCTCTTTTGTCCCTTATGGGATAATAGACATGGCACCCTCCATACTCCTCCTGTTCGAAGCCACGAAATTGCAATTCAATACTCTTCAGCTCAGATCTCAAAACACACCGTACTTTCCTCCATCTTTCATTATTCTTATTATCTTCATTCCTTTCAATCTCAAACATCTCATTACCTAATCATACTTTACAATCTATCTCATCTATTTGCCACTCTTTCCTAACTGGTCCCTTACTTGGTTTCTCTGCAATTATAAGACAAAGTAACCCATGCCAATGTCAACAAATACATTGCTTGCAATTATATTTAACACAAGGTACTTCACAGGAGCAATATCAAACAAAATCTGACATCAAGCTATGTAAGGAGATACCATGGTAGTTTTGGACAGAGCTAAGTTTTAAAGAACATCACTGGCTCTTTTTCATGTTTAAAGAATGAATTTCAGTGGTTAGACCCAAGGCAGCTGAAGGCACGGCTGACAGTGGTGAAGTGATGGAGATTAGGCTATGCAAAAGGCATTAATAAATAATGTCTCAGAGACACCGACATTTAGTTAAGAGTAAGGTAAACCTGACGGCATGTTAGTAATGCTAACACTTCACCCAGCTTGATTATTGGATGCAATTCCAGGGAATGAGAATTGGAAGTGTTGGCCTAGTACCAGGGGACAAGTACATAAGGAAGGCACCAAACATCTTGCACAGCACTTCTGGTGTCCATTAAAGTCTGATAATTGTAAGATACTCACAACTAAAGGGTGCAAGTAGTACATGGAGTGTATGCTACTAAAGCCACTACTGAATATCAAGAATAAATATCAGCATTTAATTATGCCACACATTCCATATATTTATATTTTACTCCAGCGTTGGCCTTGCAGTTGTAAAGGGGTTTGTGGAATGACTTCTGCTCCTATGCCTTATGGACTAAGTCTCTGGGAACCAAGATATCTCATGGGTGCACAGCAACGTACACAGGAAATATTAGACAATAACGGCCAGATCAGAGAGTGATTATTTGCAGTAGCCTCATTACGGTCTGATAATAGATAGGAAAACCAGAACTCCTCTTCCCAACCCAGAGATAAGATAACAACCTTAAAGTTAATACTGTTTACCAATGATAGATATTTTTAATTTACAGTCTTTGAGACTAGAGAAGCTGGGACTGTTCTCTGCAGATCAAAAACAATTATGGGAGATAGGGGAGTTCAAAATCAAAAAATAATTTTAAAAGAGTAAATAAGGACAAAAAGTTATGTTTTTACTGGCAGGAGGGTCAACAATCTTCAACAGAAAAATGGTGAAGAATCAGAGGCGAGATGAATGGATTTTTGAAAGCTGAATTGTTATGAACTCAATGTTTTTATTCTTTCATGAGATGTATACATACTGGCAAGGTTAGTGTTTATTGCATATCTCTAATTATTCTTGAATGGAATGCTGTGTGTTTTTGGACAGCAGGTAAAAGTCAGCTACATTGCTGTGGGTGTGGAGTCAAATCAAATCTCAACTGGGTAAGCACGGCAGATTTTCCTCCCGAAAGGACATTAACGAGCTGGGTGGGTTTTCACAACAATTGATGATGGTTGTCATGGTCATCATTCCTGGGATTAATTTCAGATTATTTTAACCGAGTTAGGTTCCATTAGCTGCTTTTGTGATACATGAAACCATGTCCCCAGTGCATAAGCATGGGCCTCTGGAGCTATAGTCTACTATCACTACCATTTCACCACCATCAAACCCCTGAATGTACCGTATCAAAGTGTAGTAAAAGTTAATTCATTAGCAATATTAATAAAGGAAACTGGATACATACTTTAAAATAAAACATTCACAAGACTACAGAGCAAGAGCAAGGGTGTCTGACTCACTCATTAGCTCCTTTGAAAAAAAACTGGCCCCTGCACAATAGGTGAATTTATCTCCTTGTTCTAAGATTCATTGATATATGGGACTGTTGTACAATATTTAGAAACACTGACGTATAGTTTGCTGCAGCAAGATCCACACTGAAGGATCAAAGGTTTGTATGTAACTGCTATAAATGTACTAAGTGCTATTTAACTGTGGATTACTGGGAAATAAATATTCTGTTTAAGGTTTAAAGATCTTCAAAATCCTCCTTATATTTTCTAACGTAATTTTTAATCTTTCAATGAAGTGCAAAGTCAGCTGGTGCATCTACAAAATGGGGAAATGTTTTTATCTTTCATTACTTTACTCACCACAGTTTAATAATGTAGTGCTCAAATTTCAATGTGCCTTAAGGAAAGGAAGCTGCATTATTATCAGCCAGTTGTGGGACCTGTGGTGAAGCCTGTGCTAACTTGAAAGTTTCAGGATTGTAGCAGTGAGCTCATTCAGTTCACTAAAATAAGTGCTAACTCTGTGACAGTACACAGACTAACTGTATGGTTAAATATCATCAGTCTGTGACATTACGTGAGTAAGTTCAGTCTGTGATGGCACACAGACAACTACGGGCAAGTTCCAGTCTGTGACAGTACATTGGACCAACTGAATTGGTAAGTATCAGTCATTTGGTGATGTTTGTCATACTTTGGAGTTAGCATGCATCACCTTTTCACATCTTAATAAATATATAAAAATCATAAACAAGAGAAGTAGTAGACTACTTGGTCCCTTGAACCTGCTCCATCATTTAATAAAATCATGACTGATTTGCTTGTGTTTGCATTTCAAATTCTACTCTTCAATCTACTCTTGATAACCTCTGCCTTAAAAATATTCAATGACCCTGCCTCCTCTGCCTTTTGTGGCGAAGAATGCCAAAATTGCACATAACACCAAGAGAACTTTTTTCCTCATCTTTGATCTATGACCTGTAAGTTTAAACAGTGCCACCTATTTCTCTCAATTCAATCAATAGTGCAATAAAAACTTTCAAATGACACAAATCAACTCTGCTAACTTGTACTAAAAACATTTCTTTGATTTTTCCAATATGTTCAGGTCCCCTTGAAGGTATAAATGATTGGACTGTTGTGCCATCTGAGCAATGAATGAACCTAGTTAAAAGAAGCGACATTGAAATGCAATCCAGTGACCATGATCATCAATTTGGATAGCCCCCATGAATGGTCAACAATTTGGCCACACCAGTTTCCACTTCCATGACAATGGGTTTAACAATATGCAAGTCCTTCAGGCTTCTTGTATTCCAATGTTTTATGTTACATTTTTCAATGATCAGTCACCAACTCAGCCACTGAAATACACCTGGATCTATTTCCTTCAAACTTGCCTATAATCGCTCAAAAGTCTCACCAACATCAATTGTGGTATCATCTGTTGTATAACATTCATTTTATAAGCAGCAGAGGCCACAGAATGGAGTTCACTAGGATTCAATTATTAACTGTCCCATATCTTTATCTGCTAACTATTTTTCATCCAGCTCAGTAACTGCACAGAGCATAATCTTTAACAAAAGAGGCTGTTGTAGAACTGTGTGGTAATCTCTCCTAAAAAAAAAGTGCCTTACATAGCAGTCCTTGGTTCATCTAACCACCCTTTCTGATTGGGAACTGAGCGGAGAAGCTCTTCCCTCTATGCAGAGGATAGATTATAGTTTATAGTTTATAAACAATCTAAAATCCAAGGTGCATCAACTTCCAATAAAAATTCAAGATCACAACAAGTCTGTAACAGGAAAGTACAGGGCGTAGGACCGCAAAACTATTCCCCGCAATTCAAGTCCAGAAACTGAAATTGAAACAAGTGTCGCTTGGGTTAAGTATTTAACATACCTGTAAAAACTGTCTGGAGTAGAACTGAGCAGAATCAACAATTTAACTACACTTAAATACAAAGCACTTGTAGTAAGCATAGAAGGAGGATTCCAAGAATGAGTAAATAAACCGGCAACAGAAACTCTGAAATGGAAGTGAACACTGACTAAAACCAAGCGAAGCAGATCTCAAAAACATCGGGGAACATTTACATATTTATAGTAGGAAATAAACTAGAATGGGTGCAGGAATTACAGTAGTGAGGAAATATAATATCTGAAAACTCAACAAAGATATAAGAACAAGGACAGCAATAGGAAACGCATCTGGGAAAAAGGAATGGATGCTGACCACAACACTGAACTAACTTAAAACAACATGTTGAGTTTGATTTGGAGGGAATTTGTATGGATGCAAGAGTTGGATCTTATGTAAGTGAAGACCAACTTGCTAAATTTGAAATGTGGGTTTCACAGAATCCCTACAGTATGGAAACAGGTCATTTGGCCCAACAAGTCCACACCGTCCCTCCGAAGAGCATCCCACCCAGACCCATTCCCCTGTATTTCCCATGTCTAACCCACCTGACCTAAACACCCCTGAACACTTCGGGCAATTTAGCGTGGCCAATCCACCTACCCTGCACATGTTTGGAGGAGAATGACTATTTACTGTCAGCTCTGGTTCAATGATGAGCACCTTGGATTGGAATTCTTAACTAGTACAGAGGCTTGAACACAACCTGGACTGATACTCCACAGCAGGAACTGAAAGATGCAGTGCTATCCGAGGTGCTTTCAGTCCAAATGTAAAACTGAGACAGTGCTCCCCTTTCAGATGGATGGACAATATCCTATGCCACTATATTGAAATAGGGCAGGAGGTTTCTTCCTGGTGTGCTGTCAATAATTATTCCTCAACCAATATCTAAAAACAGGTTAGCTGGTCATCATCATAAATATTCTTGCTGCCACCTTTGCTATACTGTTAATAGCGACAATTCAAAAGTACATTTTTAGCTGTAAAATGCTTTTGAAAGTCTTTAGATGGTGAAAGGAACCATATAACTGGTGCACAGTTGTTTTTAAAAGTACATAAGGAAATCTCGTAGAGATTTCAATGCTG